ACAGTGAGACTCTGTTTTAAAGAAAAAAAAAAAAATAATAAAGCCTGTATTTTATAACTGTAGCACTTCCTCATTTCCATCCCCATCTGCTAGGATATGTTATACTGCTTTGGAAAATCCAAGTTTTTCTTAAAAATTTCAAGTCTAAATATCAAGCTGAAGGGACACTGTTTGGTCTAAGAAGTCCTATTAACACTCTGCAGTGGCCTTTCTACAGGGCTCACATATTTACCAGCTTTCTGAGTGCGAGTCTAACAGAGGCAATGAGGAAAAATCGTGTCTATCAGCCCTTTCATCTTGTGCTACACGTTTATAATACATATTGATTCGCCATTTCACAAACATGTTTTTTTAAAAATTCCTACAATGTCTTAGAAATGTAAATATTCTTCAATACACAAATTAGATGAATGAAATCAGTGCTATTAAGGCATGCTGTTTTGCCAGGGGCAAGTATTTTGCCTAGCGACAGCAGTCATACAGCACTGGAGAGCTTTTCTTACCAAGCAAGGTCAGGACTGGCTCTGGAGAAGGCCAAATACTAAGTGTAAAAATAAATCTAGAAACAAAAAGGCAACTTAATAACCTTCACCACAGTTTCAGTATAAAGACTTACCCAACCAGAAATTATATAGGCCTTAAAAATAACCGTGGGCCAGGTCTACTTCGGGAGCATGCAGGAGGGTGAAAAGTCTCTGTCACAGCAGCTGAGTCCATGCAGTTGACACCATGAGCAAGGCTCCTTCCTGAGTTGAACAAATTTATAGACAAGGAATTATTGTTGAATTTAACTGGCGGCCGACATGTCTAAGGAATATTGCCGGGATCTGATCCCCTTATGAATCTTGTGATTGATGGGTGTGTGGAGATGGCAACTAGTGGGTAAGAAAATGATATTACTTATGGTGATATGAGGAAATTGTATCAGCTAGAAGCCTTGGGGTGAGTATAAATCAAGGCTGTTTTGCAGAGAAATCCATGTCCTCTCTCCAAAGGGCCTGTTTTACTATGATACAAAAACTGGGTCATGTATATTTTCATATTAAACTTTTTGTTCAATAAAAAAGTATTGTGAACTAGATGTATATTCATCTATGTTTCTGCTAGATAATTTTTTTTTTTTGCTATAGAAAGAATATCAAAATGTGCCAGTTTGTCATTTGAAGTATAAATGGCATTTAAATTATTAGAGGTTCCAACAGTAAAGAAGTCAGCAACTTGAGACAATACTCCAAAGGCTCATAGAGCATCTAACGACTTGAAATTTTAGGAAAGAATAATTGAGAAATAATAAATAGGCTTGGTCTTGCAATGTGTTTCTCTAAACTATTTCCCTAATTAAGTTCTAAACATCATAATTTACAGTAAACTTTAAAAAATGTATCTATTATCTGCTTTACCTATTCCTAGGTTATGCCCTGATGGATTTCCAATGAAAACTGTGGCATAGAAAACCGTGAAATGTGGAAAGGCCTTTCCCTGAATCCAGGCTTAGCCCCCATGAAATGTATGGCATTAGGTAAGCACCAGCTCTCAGGATAATTCTTAGAAAGTCAGAATAAGATAACCCGGCTGTAAGGAAGAAATCAAGAAATCTGGTATCTATAACCTTTCCTTAACCTGACACTGTACCTAAAAATGTACAATCAAAATAGAGTTCTAAATCAAGCCCAAAGATATTTTGAAGGAGTTCCCTCAATAAACTAAAACTAAATTTGGATCCATTATTGCCCCCTAATGGTCAGCTCTTAGAAATGAAACCCCTTTGAAAATTGAGTATGCAAATTCAGGGTTTTTTCCTATCAAAAGTTTCCTCCAAAGGCTTAAACCATTAGGTTTTTCTCCAAGACAGGCCATGTTCAATTACATGCATTTAAATAAAATTGTGAATACAAGTATACTTCTGATCTTTAAAATGACTTCTGTAACTAGATTAAGCTACCTTTTCTGGTTTTAAAAACATTTTCCTTAGAATGTCTCTCCTTTTCCCAATAATGGAAATCAAGAAGAAAAAGATAAAGAGCTTCAAGTCTCGGCTGTATCTTAAGCAAATGTATGATACCTTGTCTTTCAGGTGTCATGGTGAAGATTTCAGAGCTGGTTCTTTATCCTAAAGGATGCTATCACCACAGGTCATTCCCACTTTTCAGGTGTCCACTAGTTTCTTCATTCTTGAGGTGATTTGTTATGGAAAAAAGCCTTCCAAATTAAAAGTCAGTGTTTGATCACAAATATACTTACATCAAAATACAAGTTCACCACGGCTTGACTTACGGTCCAAACTAAGAGGACTGCCTCTTCCTAAAAACCACAAAAATGTACTGCAACCACACAGGATCCAGCATATAGATGGCATGAGTAATTATAGAAGTCTGAATCTCTGTGGGTAGAATTTTACCACCTACTTTTCATCTTTTACAAGCCTTAGTTTCATTATCTACAAAATGGGGATAATATCATCTACTTTGTTGGGATACTGGGAAGGCCAAATGAAGTCATATATGAAGAGCACTTAGCCTAATGTTTGGTACATAGAAGGCATCAACAAAAGATATTCTCGGTTAGCTCCTTAGTTTAAAAAAAAAAAGTCAATTATTGAAGGATCTTTCCACTCATAGGTATGAAAACTCTGAGGCATCACATCCTCACAGCCTCTGAGAGCACACCACAATTTTCCATATGTTCTCCACTGTTAAGTGATATCTGTAATGGGACCTGCTAAGAAAACAAAGTTAAGAACAATCGAGTGAGGCGAATAAGCAACAAAGGAAATGCCTTCTAAGTTCTGGGTATTTCACAACAAACATGGTGCCTACAGACTAAGAAAAGGGAAGTTGAGTGCAAGGACTGGAAACATTGGATTGTTCGGTCTATTACGCCCTCTAGTGGCCATAAACAAGACTTTTTTTCAAAATCCCAGTTTGGCCAAGATTGCAACTTGGATATAAGTATTACCCATGAGTTTGAAAAAAGTGATGTTTGTATTTTCTGCCTATATGGGGAAAAAGGGGACTTGATGTTAAGAGAAGCCAATGCTATTACAAATTTTATCAATTTGTTTCTATTCTATGCTGAATGAAAATACTAATCAATGGAAGAAAAGGCACATGCTGACTTTCGTGCTATATTCACTCTCAAGTGAGAACTGAAGAGAATTGCCTTTGTTGTTTTATGAAAGGGAATTTTGAAATAAGCATCTTTCTAAAATAGCAATCTTTTTTTTTTAACCACAGGGTTATTTACAAGCCAAGGTAATAATTAAATATGCCCAAGACTATGACTTATTCTCTGACCAAACCCTTCATTTTTATAATGGGGTAATTATAGTAAAAACTTCAATTAACCAGAGCCCTCAACATGTTATCCTTCTCTTGTACTGTATTTTTAGGACAAAGTAGAAAAGTAATCACAAGAAATTGTTCATATGAAAAATTTAGTTTGCAAATCTTGTAGATGGGTTAAGTAGAAAAAAAAAAACCCCAGAATACAAATTACATTCACACCATGATTAATATATAAAAAACACATATTTAATTAGGTAACAGCTGGAAGGAATATAATTTTTAAAAATGTGAACATGGGCCAGGCATGGTGGCTCACGTCTATAATCCTAATAATTTTAAAGGCTGAGGCAGGAGCATCACCTGAATCCAGGACAACTAGGTGAGACCCTGTCTCTACAAAAAAAAATAGCTGGGTATGGTGGTGATTGCCTGTAGTCCAATATACTTGGGAGGCTAAGGCAGGATAATCACTTGAGCCCAGGAGTCTGAGGTTGCAGTGAGCTATGATCATGCCACTGCACTCCAGCCTGGGCGATCCTGTCTCAAAAAGGCTGGGTGCAGTGGCTCAAGCCTGTAATCCCGGCACTTTGGGAGGCCGAGGTGGGTGGATTGCTTGAGGTCAGGAGTCCAGGACCAGCCTGACCAACATGGCAAAACCCCGTCTCTACTAAAAATACAAAAATTAGCTGAGCATGGTGGCACATGCCTGTAATCCCAGCTACTCAACAGGCCGAGGAAGGAGAATCGCTTAATCCTGGGAGGTGGAGGTTGCAGTGAGCCAAGTTTGTGCCACTGGACTCCATATTGGGCAAGAGCGAGACTCCGTCTCAAAAAATAACAACAAAAACAACAACATCAACAAAAAGAAGAAACAGTGAATGTGGGGAAATTGTCAACTATTTTTTACTCTTTCTGTTTTCCTTATTGTTACATTACTTGTACAACAAATGAATTCAGAATAAGAGAGAGAGGTACATATCCTGCAACATCTATCCTACACTGATAGAGGCCACCATACCCTATTATCAAGACAAAAAATAGGTCTCTTGGGAGTATCTCCTCCAACATAGGCTGAAACAAGACAGGTTCTGTATAAGCATATAGTTTTCAACTAGTTTGAAAATATATTTACAAGGATATTCTTTATTGAGAAGTGTCAATAACTAAAGTTTCACTTAAGAAGAGAAGTTGCCAAAGAATTCAGCATCAACCATTATATGGCCATTTGCATTTGAAGCAAATTGGAAAGGTGAAAAATCTCCATAAGTGGGTGCCACATGAGCTGAGTGAAAAAAAATTGTTTTGAAGTGTCACCTTTTCTTATTCTACGCAACAACAACAAATCATTTCTTGACCAGATTGTGATGAAAAGTGGATTTTACAGAAAACCAGCAACAATCTGCTCAGTGGTTGAACCAAAAAGCTCCAAAGCCCTTCCCAAAGCCAAACCTGCACCAAATAAAAGGTCATGTTGGCCTGCTGTGGCGGCTCACACCTGTAATCCCAACAATGTGGAGGGCCTAGGCGGGTAGATCACCTGAGGTGAAGGGTTCGAGATCAACCTGGCCAACATAACGAGGCCCCATCTCTACCAAAAATATACGAAAAGTTGGCCAGACATGTTGGCAGGCGCCTGTAGTCCCAGGTACTTGGGGGACTGAGGCACAAATAGGCTAAGTAACCAACCGTAATGGAAACCTCATAATACCAAGTCCATATATTTAAAATACTGTTTATTTGTGATTTAACATTAATTAGCATTACATCTAAGAGCAATATCAGATAACATTTATACATTTTTCCACAGGACACAGAGGTTCATTGGCTCATTCTTTATGCCAAAGCGAGTAAATAGAGGCATTAGCAAAAGGTGCAATAGTTCACTGTTGTGTTTAAAAAATATTTATGCACATTGCATTCATTTAGACATATATATTTTTAAAAAGTTATGGAAAAGCATAGTTCACAGGTTACTGTTTCTACATACATTGTAATACAACATAAATGATGTAGAACATAAAAAAAATCTTCCAATACAGAGTGAAGCAACTGAAAGTTTCCACCAAGAGAGTAAAACACTGAGTCCAGTAGTTAGTGAGATCTAGAATGACATTTCCAGGCTCTGGCTCAACTCTGCATTATCATATGCACACAGTCAAACAGAACCAGCTCCAAAACACACTGTAATCAATGTAATTTTTTGCATGCCAACTCACCCCCAAGAAACACTTTGGGTTATTTTTACCCATGGATAATTCTGGATCATTGATTTTGCATCGATTTGTGACATCACTTGGGTGAAAGGGGAAAAGCCTACCTTAAGCCTAGGTTTAAATTTGTATTTACATTAAAAAGAAAGTTAACTGAAAAGATTTTTTAAAAATCTATAAAAATCAAGTGGTAGTTTTCTTCCTGGTGGGATTAGACCTGCTGATTTCTTCTAGTGCTGCCCTCTAAAGATACACAAGGTTAGAAAGAGCTGACCTTTTTAAAACTCAAATATTAACCAAGAAAGACAATACTTTTGGCAGAAAAGCAGAATTTTACAAATTTGGGACATGTTTCCAACAAACATACTTTGTATCCTACCGTGAATATGAGTCACTATCAAACTAGAATTCTTCTTTTCACATCCCATCTTTTGTTACCTTAACTTTTCACTTTCCCTTTCATTCTTTTTCTTTTCATTTGGCTACCTTATGAGGCTTTTCTTCATTCATTAGCAATACTAAGAGAAAAATACAGTATAAGATTCAAATATGAATCCAGATGTACCTTTATATGTTCTAATCCCCTTTTGACACAAAGTCCCTGGATTCATCAATTATATTTAAGTATGCTCAGTACCAAGCAGTCTTAAGTATGCTCTACTGTGAAAAGATTGGCTAATATGCTTAGGACACTTTTATACTGAATGGTATACAAACATCAACATACAAAAATTGTTTTTTGCCAGAGTTAAACTAAATAACCCATGTTATGTGTATAAAATCCCCTTTGTTGAAAAATAAGGGGCTTTCTAAACTAATAAAAAAAGGAAGTTTTCAAAAATTATAGTTTATTAAAACAACTTTTTTTTGGCAAACAAAGTTACTCCAGGTGAGGAAATTTTATACTGTGAATAAAATTCCACATGAATCTTTTCTTAAAACTTTTTAAAAAATTATGTGCCAGTGTATACTAATGCTATAGACTCTTGTCTTAGAAGCTTTTAAAGCATTCTGTTAATGCCCATTGAAACAACGGGGACCCCAAAATATAGTCAATAATGATAAAAAATTACAATCTGATTACCAAGTGAAGCAGGAATTGAGAAATAAAAATTCTCACTTGCTCACTGGCAATTTCTTTCTAACAGATATTGTGGAGGAGGCCTGAAGTAATTCAGACAGATATCTGGTTATGGTGAATGATAATAACACTTTATGAGGGCAGAGCTAATTAAAACTAGTAACTGCTTAAAATTCAAAGCCATTTTTAGACATATAAAATCAGAGATGAATCTGAAAGTTTTGTTCTTGTAAAACCTCTTTCCAGTTCTTAAAGTCCAGTTTGTTACATCCCCCAATCTGATCTACCATTGCGTATTAATGATCAACTTAAACGTGGTAATTAAATGTGCAATGTCACGTTGTTATAATAGTAATTATAAAAAGGCTTTATTTAGGCCTCAACTTTCTCCTTTTTTTTGTTCTTTTTCAGAAAAGAAGGAGTGCGGAATTTCTTCTTTTTCTTGGATGGTGATTTTGAAGGTGAGCCTTCAGGTGACAGGACTTCCTCAATTTTCTCTGGAGACTTAATGGTAATCTCGATGTTTTCTATGGTTGTACTTGTAGTTAACCTACTCACTCGCTTAGCAAGCTCATCTTCAACATCATGCATATCATCTTTGCCATTTACTACCATGACAGGCACTTCCATGGAGATGAAGCTCTTGGAAAACAGCTCATGGTTTTCTACAAAAGGGGAGGGTTTTTGAGGGGTTATTTTATATACTTAACATTTTTGCTTTACTTTACAAAACTGAAATGTTTTAGCAATGTAATAAGGCATTACTTTAATGAAGACAGATAATTATTTTAATACACTGTGATATAGTAGCATGAAGCTAATTTTCTTTAATGATATAAAGGGGAAAGGAACAAAGTTGTTAAACCAAAGAGCAAAAGCTATATAATCCCAGTTTGATGAAATGACAGTTTCATTGTAAATCAAGTGAGCATAAATGAGTAAGACAACATATTCTTCTTCAATTTGGGGATCATTTGGCAATCAATACTGAAAAAGATTTCATGGTGCTAACTGGGAGATGTTTATTTTAATTTCACAAATTCTTAAGCACTATGGGTTGACAAAAATTCAGATTAAGTTAAATCAATATAAATGTTGAACAAAAGTAGTGCTCCATTTTTAATGATATAAAATATGTAATTATTGGGAGATTTAAGTAAAATCTATGGAAAACTTACTGTGATGAGGTGTTCAACTTTCTCATATGAAAACAAATCACAGAGGGGCAGATTCAAGACTAACTGAGTGAATGCTATATGGGGAATTACATTGAGTACCTTCTAATTTTTCAGGGACATTTTGCGGTGACTGAGTTTGAGACTGAATTTGTGAAACAGATGAAGCGTCATCTGAGAGTAATTCCTGCTCAGCATCTGTTGGATAAGAGTTTGGTTAAAAGCCATGCAAAACAAAACAAGCAGCATATGATTTTAGAGAGGTTAGCGCATCTATCAAATGCCTGCATACACGGAGGTGATAAATTCCTCAGCAGTGAGCTGAGCATGCTAACAGTTACCCCATACATCCATAATTAAACATTAAGAGGAGGTTAATGTGTTAACATTTCTGGCTGCTAATAGTTATTTTACATGTAGGGTTACAAAGGATGCACAGCTACCGGCAGCCCAGGCAAATGATATGTTGCATGTAGCTTTTGCTAGCATTAGAAAACCAAAACATACTGCGCAGCCAGATGAAAAGAATTATAAAGCCTCACCGATGATGCTACATTAATGAGGCAGAATGCTTCACGTAATTTTTGAACAATATTCAATCAGTTATTTCTATCAGAGCAATGATACTGAGCTAATTCATAAGGTCATAATAAATGTAGAAGAAACTTTTATAAAGTTATATAAAAACGGTGATGGTTCTAGAATGCAACATTTGTTACCTGGCATCTTTAGGCTTTCAAAAAACAAGAGATTAAAGAGGGACATTTTAAAAAATATAAAAAACAGAGAAAGTTCCCAACTTTATGTTAGAATAAATAAATTCAATAACATCACTTAGAAAATTTAGTATAATTACATTAATGAGTCAGGATGACTCCCTTTTGTGACAAAGGCACAAAAAACTGTTCCTTGGACGATCAATGTCATTAGTTCTTCCTACATGATATGTAACATGGACAAAAATTTCATTAACTGTTTTGCTTTGCATAAACATTTCAACTGTATGTTTTGGATACTCTAAAGCAGAGGCTCCTACCCTCTTTTTGGGCCACAGGCTTCTTGTCCCTGACCCCAAACCCTGCCTTCCCTAAATGTGTATCTTACACAATTACGCATGTATTTTTCAGGTGGCTCATGGACGGCCTGAAGCTTATCCAAAGAATCAATATAAAGAACCTCTGATAGGAAGAATCTCTCGTTCTAGAGAAAAAGGGAGCTAGTAGTCAATTGTTTAAGATATTTTCATTAACAAGTCTTAAACACAATCCTAACAATCTGCTTACTAAGGTTTCCGAAGCCAGAAAACTCAACCTACTAGAGTGTCCATGTGCTTAAGGGAAGTCACATCAAAATGTTAGCAGTTTGTTTTAAATTTTGACTTTGAAGTGACAATGTTGGCATCTTGAGACAACCGGAAACAGAGATTTCACAAAGCATCAAAACTACATACTTGTGACTCTATAATTATTTAAGAGAGTTAAAAAAAAATCACGTACTTATGAAATGTTTCAATCCATTAACATATCTACACTACTTTGGCTAGTAATTCTTTACTCATCTGGGAATCTCACTTTCCAGACAATTTTATTATAAAATGATAGCATTCAGATTGTTTTCTTTTTCTTTTTTCTTTTTTGAGACAGAGTTTCTCTCTGTTGCCCAGGCTGGAGTGCAGTGGCACGATCTCGGCTCACTGCATTCTGCGCCTCCCGGCTTCAAGTGATTCTCCTGCCTCGGCCTCCGGAGTAGCTAGGACTACAGGTGTGTGCCACCACATCTGGCTAATTTTTGTATTCTTAATAGAGACGGGGTTTCACCATGTTGGCCAGGCTGGTCTCAAACTCCTGACCTCAAGCAATCCACCTGCCTCGGCCTCCCAAAGTGCTAGGATTACAGGTGTGAGCCACGGACCCTGGCCACACTGACTGCTTTCTATCATCCAACATGAGGCACTTTATTGTTATCAGTGTGGCTTATCCTAGGCTGAATCTAAAAATTAACTAACCTTCTAGGCCTTGTTGTTTACGTTCGATTGTCTTCTTATACTCTTCAAGTTCTCCTTCTGTGAGATGACTAAATGGGTTAGGAGGAGCTGGTGGGCCTTGATCATCATCTTCAAATTGCATAGTCTTACAAAGAAAAAATAAAATCAATTCATTATCAGGAGTTTTACTTATATATCTATCTATTCATCCATCTAAATACACACAAATGCCATACGATGTTTGTGAAGGCTTACTTCACAACAATCATAAGAAATTGCAAGGTAACATGCTTTTTTTACAACGCTCTTCTAAGGTTAATGCTCTTAAACTACTGGTCCAATAGACTAAAATTGCCGTGATGTTTCCTCAATAAGCCTATATAAGTACATTTTAATAATTTTTTTTTTTTTTTTGAGACGGAGTTTCGCTCTTGTTGCTTAGTCTGCTGGAATGCAATGGCGGGATCTCAGCTCACTGCAACCTCTGCCTCCTGGGTTCAAGTGATTCTCCTGTCTCAGCCTCCTGAGTAGCTGGGATTAAAGGCATCTGCCACCATGCCCAGCTAATTTTGTATTTTTTACTAGAGACAGGGTTTCACCATGTTGGCCAGTCTGGTCTCTAACTCTAGACCTCAGGTGATCTGCCTGCCACGGCCACCCAAAGTGCTGGGATTATAGGCATGAGCCACCGCGCCCAGCCACATTTTAATAATTTTTTAAAAAGCCATTATGCCAAATTCTAAAAGCTTCACATAACAAAAACAATCTTGAAAAAAACAAGAACTGCTCCATTTCAAAGACCTTTGTAAAAAAGGCTTACAGAAATGAAACTGTATCAAAAGCAGTTCTTTAAATCTGTTATGAAAATAAGCTTGTAGTTGTTTTCTCTAGGAAAGGAAATAATAGAATTTCAGTTGCACCTGGCATATGGAAGCCATCAATTTATTTTTTATCCCTCCCCAAACACCATTAAAATGATAGTAAAGGAATAATACTTTGAAAAAAACTGTTAAGGATAAAAGAATGTGAGAGGAGACAACAAAGGATGAGAAATGTTAACACATTTTTGGAAGATAGAATGCAAGTGGAAAAGCAGGTAGCAGAGCTGAGAAAGTTGAAGCCTCAGTCCTGAAAAAAAGGATGCAAATGAGAAGCATGCTTATTTGCCCTGAAGAGGTCTGATAAGCCCAGAAACTAGAATCAACAGGTACCACCAAAGGTGGTAGTGAGGAAAAGGTGAGAATATAGGAACAAGTTAAAAGTCTGAATAAGAAACAGATTCCCAGGTTCTCCTCCCTATTCCAGAGCCAAGCATTTCCCTCTCTCATCTCTGCAGAAGATCAGAGGATTATTCTTTAGAAAAACTAACTAAGGGATACAAAATACAGCTGTGGGCTCCTAGAATGATGCTTGGAAACTGACAGACTGGAAAGTTCTTTTCCAGATAAACTAAATAGTCCCAAATAAAAGAATTAGAGAGAGGAATGTCTGGGGATTTCCCAGAGAAACAACCTGGTCCACATCCAATCACCCTACAATGAAGCCCACCAATCCCCAAACTCTGTATACACCCAGAGCTTCTGAGAGGCTTTCATGTCTCATTATTCCATATAAACAGACATATAAACTCAGAATAGACAAAGACAACAAAGGCAAATAAAGAAAACTTAAAATTGATACCCTTACAGCAATAAGAGAAAGCGTATCTATAAAAAAAGATCAGGATGTTATTAAAAAGGAACATTCAGAGAATAAAAACTCTTAAAAATAAAAAAAGTTAACATCAAAATAAAAAAATTAAAAGGGTTAGAAAACATCAGGAAGGTCTCCCAGAAAGTAGGATACAAAGATAAAGAGATGGCGAGTAGGAGAGAAAAGAAAAAAATCAGAGGCTCAAAGAGGCCCAACATCCAAACTAACAGGATAAACTGACAGAGAAAGAAATGGTAAGAAAACTCTTGAAGAAACACTTAAAAAAAAAAAAAAAACAAAAAAAAAAAACCTACCAGAACTAAAGGATATGACTCTGTAGATTGAAAAGGCTTACTAATTACTTAGAAAAAAGACTAAAAAGAGATCTATGAAGCACACAATCCTAAAATTTCAGAACAGCAGGGATGTAGAAATGTCTAAAAGCAAAAAAAAAAAAACCAAAAACCAAAAAACAAAACCTAAACAAAGGTTTAGGAATCCCAATGCCTTCCTGACTTCAACAATAAAACAGGGGACAACAGAATGTTTTTCATATTTCAGAAGAAAATTATTTCCAAACTACTCTATGTCCATTATATGCACATTTGAAGGTATAATAAAGGCATTTCAGACTGTTACCTCCTATGTATCCTTTTCTCAGAAAGCTATTAGAGGGTGTGTTCTACGGTAACAGAATTCAAGAAAGCAGAAGACAGAAGATACAGGAAACGGAGAACAATGTAGATGAGCAGCACAGGAATCCTCCAGATGAACCTGCACAGCTGGCCTGAGAACAACCAATTTAGATTTGGATCAGAATGATGGGGGTGGGGGGACACATGGGTGGCTTGGAACAGAGATTATCTGTTGCCTTTGACCCTATGGAAAATAATATTAGGACGGACTTTATTTTTTATTTTTTTTGAGACGGAGTCTCACTCTGTCGCCAGGCTGGAGAGCAATGGCATGATCTCGGTTCACTGCAATCTCTCTGCCTCTAGGGTTCATGTGATTCTCCTGCCTCAGCCTCCCAAGTAGCTAGGAACACACCCAGCTAATTTTTGTATTTTTAGTAGAAATAGGGTTTCACCATGTTGGCCAGGATGGTCTCAATCTCTTGACCTCGTGATCCACCCGCCTTGGCCTCCCAAAGTGCTAGGATTACAGGTGTGAGCCACCATGCCTGGCCAGGACTTTGTAATTTTGTTAAGAAGTTTGAGAAGAACTAAGCCAATGTACCCCAAATAATAAGCCAATGAAAAAAAGGCAAGGTGAGGGTAGGGAATGGTAAGTTATGTAAGAAAGGAAATACTACCTGGCTTAGCAGCAAATATGCAGTAATATAAATAGTGAAAGCTGATTTAACAAAAAAACAAAACCAGCTGTGATGTATCCTTACTGGGAGAATGGGGAGAGGGACAAAGGAAGCATTGTATAAAAAGGCTAAATCCCCATCTTTCAAAAATATTTCATTAATTCTAAGATGAATATTTTCCATCTCTGAAACTGGGAATCACCTTATGGCTTCTACAATTATAATTGGCAGTGTTTTTTTTTCTCTTTTAGTGACATGTAAGATAATGGTACTTCTTATAATGACATAGATTTGATGAAAAATAGTCAAGGTCTAAAACTGACAGACCAAGAAAAAGCAGAATATGCTCTTCAGAAACATCAAAGCAGGACCAAGAGCAGTGCTTTACATCTGTAATCCCAATACTTCAGGCTGGAGGATCACTTGAGACCAGGTGTTCATGACTATCCTGGGCAACACAGTGAGACCGTATCTCAACTAACTAGAAACATCAAGGTAAATATTAGAAGCAATGAAAAGAACAGGAAGTTGCTGTACCTGGGAACTGGGAATTGTGGGTGGCATTTTAAGTCTTGTGGATTGACTTTTTAACTTGTGCTTATATTAACAAAATACATATTCATATTTAAAAAGCAATGAAATTAATGTGGTGGATCAAAAACAAAGATCATATTGCTTTATAAACTTACAGGAGGTGGCTTATCCACAACAATTCCAGCAAGCAACTGAGACTGTGGTCCTGCTGTTTTCAAATCATATCGATTTTGTTCCCGAATCTGAATTGAAAAACAATTCAATAAAAAGTTCTTGAGGGCAACTATGCAGATGACCTTTGCTTTATCTTTTCATAAAAGCTTACTCTTTGACCATTCCAGAGTGACAGCCTCTTCAATTCCCACCTCCATAAAGACTTCTTTTACCATCCTAACAACTCAAATTAGTCTTCTCCACTCTTTTTGCCATGTCACTTCCTTTTGTCTTACATTGTTAGAGAACTGCATTTTAATATGTTTAAATTAAAATAGAAATATGTTTAATACATCTTCCCCATGTAGCCTGTTCACCAATTACCAGCACAGACCTGGAGGCATTCAATATAAGTTAAAATTATACTCAATTAAATTCCAAATTCTTCTGTGTTCAAACTTCTAAGTTTGGCATTAACCAGATTCAATCACTGGTGATTTAAACATAGAACAATTAAAATGTCCCCCCTGGCTACAGGAGACCATGTCTTACCTTATTTCTCTTTTCTAGTACCTCATTCGGGTTTGTGTTTAAAGGAACGAACTGATTTGGATCTTCAATTTTGATAGGTGTTCCTCCACTAACTTTAGACGAGTCCTCCGCTTTCATCCACTAAGAAATCAAAAATTTTCTAAAATGAAACTTTGTGTTAAGGAAATATTAGTAGATTGCTAAATAACTACGGTCTCAAGAGGGGCACTGCCAATGTTTAAACAATTTCACTAAGCAAGACTGTAGTGGTGAATTAGTTTCATCTCACACTAGTTAGAAAAGGCTCACAATCAGCATTCATTTAAAAAATAAATGCCATTATGATTCACACAAATATTCAATTACACTGCTAATTAAACTTTCTCATTCTGTCAAGTGAAAATATAAGGCTGAAACTACTTCAAGTACAGAGAGCATGATCTCACATTCACTCACATTTAGGGTTCTGTCTTCTGCACTAAAGACAGAAGTCACCAAAAAACAAAAACAAAAACAAAAACCCTTAACAATTATCTTAACATTATCATACTTCATTTTTTATTTTTGGCAGACAGAAAAGGCCAAGCCCTAATCAGCATTTTGTAACGGGGATAATCTGGTATATAATAGCAAAATAGAACCATGGGGTTGGAAGGAGCTTATGTAATTCTTCTCATTTACCCCATATTATAATCCTTAAAGAAACCTAATCTCATAAAGATTAATGATGGCTGACCATCAATCTCTGTCAACAAAATGAATTCTGAGAAACTACTGAGTTTAATTATGTTCTTTTACTGGGAGACAAGAAATCTTAGACTACAGAAAAGACATTTTGATCCCTAAGTATTTTTGTATTGAATGCATTTGTTTATATAAGATGGACTAATTTTGAATATCTAGAGCAGTGATGTCCAATCTTTTGGCCTCCCTGGGCCACACGGGAAGAATTGTCTTGGGCTACATATAAAATATACAACCACACTAACAATAGCCAATAAACTTAAAAAAAAAATCACAAAAAATTCTCATAACGTTTTAATACAGTTTACAAATTTGTGTTAAGCTGCATCCAAAGCCATACTGCGCTGTGGACTGGACAAGCTTGATCTAAAGAATGGTGGTATGCACTCCAAAACCAAACCAAACCAAACGAAATCTAAAGCAAAATTCTGAAAAAGATAAAATAACCCATTTCTCTACCTACAAAATCTTGCCTAAGGGTAGCTATGTGCAATGATTCATGTAGCTTTGGTTCAATTAGCTGTCAATAACTTAACAGTTTTAATTCACTGGTGCAACAGTAACTACAAACTACAGTAACAGCAGTATCATGTAGTGGGCAAGAACTGGGCTCAAGAGTCAGACTGTCTGCATGCAGATCCCCAGTTTACCATTAAAACATGATTGATTAGCCCTTCTTGCCTTGGTTTTCTCATCTATAAAATAGACAGAAAAACAGCATCATTCATATTAGGAGAAGCAAATGAGATAATTCATGTACAGCACTTAAAACAGTGCCTTGTACAAAGTTAAAACCTGGTAAGTCACAGTAGTATTTTTAAATATTATTTTACTTTCCAAATATTTTCAATATCTAACATTCAATTCCTAGGTAACGAGGCAAAACATTTAGTAAAAGCAAACTACATAAATTACTGGCACACCGTGATTTTGGTTCGGGGACTGGTTTCTCCATTCCGAGACTCCTCAGGCACATTCACTTTCATGTAAGTATTTGGTGAGTTCAGCCATCTTGTTTTTTCACGCTGTTGCCTCTGTGCCATGTATTTGAGAGGAGAGAGTGGCACTGTGTCGTCTTCAAAGGAAAAAGCAGTCACAGTTGCTGGGATTTCCACATCACTCTTGTGCCTAGGCTTCTCTCGAATGAGAGGATGCCTGTAAGCATAGCCTGTTCTATACCCCTAAGGGAGGGAAAAACCACATTTGAAGCATCAAACTTGTATCAACAACAGCATTGGGATCCTAATTCCTTATACAAATGATTTAAAAGACTCCTTTGTTGAAAAACAAAGGAAAAAGCATCTTTCCAAATGCTACATAATTTTCATGTAACTAGAGTTGAAATTGTGCAAATTTCAAGATCTAGTTAAAGCTGATTACAGTTGATATTGCAATTTCCATTCACACAACTGTTCCTGACAAAGGAACAGTTCTAAATTGCTGACCATTAGTGCTTTTCTACCTATAAAACTATTTTTGGGAAGCAAATCTCAGTGCTCATTTAAGACTTTGTTCCTGAGTCTGAAGGCAGTCTGCCTTCTGAGCTTTCACAGAAGAGGGTAAAATCTAAGGTAACATTTGCTAAACCATACAGCTGATAAGGGGTTACTATCCAAAATACATAAGGAACTCAAAAAACAGCAAGAAAAGACCCCAATTAAAAAATGGGCAAAGGATCTGAATATACATTTTCAAAAGATGACATACAAATGGTCGAGTATATTAAAAAATGCTCAACATCACTAATCAAGAAAATGCAAATTAAATCACAATGAGATATCATGTCCTATCTGTTAGAATTACTGTATCAAAAATATGAAAGATAACAAGTGTTAGAGTCAATGTAGGAAGAAAGGGAAACTTTGCGCACTGTTGGTGGCAATGTAAATTAGTACAGCCATTAGGGAAAACAGTATGGAGGTTCCTCACACAATTAAAAATAAAACTACCATATGATCTAGCAGTCTTATTACCAGATATATATCCAAAGGAAATGCAATCAGTATGTCAAGAAGATATCTGTACTCTCTTGTTGGTTGCACCATTATTCATAATAGCCAAGATATAGAATCATCCCAAATGTCCATTGATGGATGGGATTAAAATGTGGTATATATAACATAATAGAATACTAGTCAGCCTTAAAAAAGAAATTCTGTCAAATGTGACATGGATAAATCTAGCGGACATTATGTTAAATGAAATAAACTAGGCACAGAAAGACAACTACTACATGATCTCACTTACATACAGAATCTTAAAAAGTTGAACCTGTTGGGCATGGCAGCTTACGCCAGCAACCCCAGCACTTTGGGAAGACTGCGTGGGAAGGCTGTTTGGGCATAGGAGATCAAGACCAGCCTGGGCAACATGGAGAAACTGTATCTCTACAAAAAGTGGGGGGGGAAAAAAAAAAGCCAGGTATGGTGGCACACACCTATGGTCCCAACTACACAGGAGGCTGAGGTGGAAGAATGGTTTCAGACCAGTAGGTTGAGGCTGCAAGTGAGCCGTGATTGTGTCACTGCCCTCCAAGTGAGACCCTGTCTCAAAGAAAAAAAAAAAAATTTGAACTCATAAAATTAGAGTAGAATAGTGGTTACTAGGAGGTTGGGGCAGAGATGTTGATCAAACCATACAAATTTCAGTTAGACAGCAGGAAAAACTTCAAGAGATACACTGTACTATGGTGACTATAGTTAATAACAATATATTCTAATCTTGGAAAAAAAAACAAAAAAAGACATTTGTAAGTTCTGTTTGATTCTCAAGGGTGTGGTTAAATCACCCTGAAATGCTTTCCTAAGGCCAAACTCGGCTTCTGGAGGAGGACGGAGCATGTTCTACAACCAAAATGAAATGGAAGCATCTGCTCTTGAATCTGAAGACGTTAAATCCAAGTTTTATTTCAATTTTGCAACCTACCAAGTTGTCCAGAGTCCTCATAAGCCCTTCAAACTCAATTTCGCCAACCTTCCATTTTTGATGAGAACCCATATTCACACCTCCTCCACCAGATACTGCTACAGTGTGAGTGAAAGCTTTATATTTCTGAAAGTCCAGTACACTGAGATTGTCTACTCCACCTGCCCCTGCTAGGGCCTGCACCTGTAATCAATGGGAAAATATACAGAGATACAAAACTATAAAGACGATAACGAGTATTTTACTTACAAAAAGGCACAATTTCAGTTTGGCAAATCTCTATAATATTCGCTTAGGCTACTAACAACAAAGACAAGATGACACTGTGCCAGCAGACAGCTGAAGTATGTTTTTTACCTATCTGAAAAGAAACCTTCCAAGACTCTGATCCTCCCCGGCGGAAAACACATTTAGAGCCATACCTCTTAAAAGCAACTGAATTCTCCTGCCAAATTTTAAATTTCTTTTCTTGAAGTTTTCCCAAGGTTATCCAGTTAATACTTTTGTTAAAAGTTTTAATTTTAAGAGAATACAAAAACACTGTACTTTGAATTTAAAGGTATTTAGGCAGAAGCCATCAGCTCATTATCCGAATTTAATTAAGCTTTTCATAGCCCCATTTGAGAAGAGCAGGAGGGACCACTAAAGCAAAAAAGAAGTGGATTTTTAGGACAAGTTAATGTTGGTGGAAAAAGGTTTTGGTTTTCTTCCTTGTGCCCCTTCCAATAAATTAAGATTACTACCATTTGCTTCATGACAATTTGCTTTATTTTAAGAGAAAATTAGGGACTTTACATAAATTCAGCATCTCTGATTTAAAAAAAAGTAGTTAATATCCAACCTCTCATCATAATAAGGCTGTGGAATTGCTGAAAACTGCAATTTCGTGAAACTTCTGGCCCTAGCCAAACTTGTTACAAAAGTGACCACAACACATTGGATTCTGGATTTGCAGCTGTTTTTCTTTCTTACTCAGCACCACCACTAGAGGGTGAAAACAGAGAAATATGCAATTGTACTATCTTAAAAAGCAGGATGGTAGGGAAAAGGATGTTTTTGCAGCCCTTAGATTGTGTGTGAGAAAATTTTAATTTCCTTTCCTCCTATTTTCAATTCAGGAGATAACTGAGTTGAGAAACCCTCTCTACTTAAGTACAGCACAACTTCTCTTAAAAGGCAAAAAGCCACTAATAGGTATTTGGAAATAAGTATACACAAAATTCAACTAAATGAGCAAATAACAAAGTAATTAAAAAGGGGGAATAATGTTTCCTACCTGAATCTCACAGGCTAACTGCACATTAAAAATATAATGAAAAGCCTCCTCTACTGTTTCTCCAAGTGCAACCACACCGTGATTCCTGAGTACCAGCACCTAAAATAGAATGCCCACAGCAATCACTTTAAATAACTGGCATAGCTCACACTGTTTTCATCAACAGCAGCAGCAACGAAAATAGCTCCTTAGACAAACTCTACATACCTTACAACTTGGCCCCAGAACTTTCTGCAGTTGAATTCTCTCTTCCTGTTCATCCAGTGACCCTTGGTAGTCATAATAGGCAACATCTCCCAGAATAAGAGATTCTTGAGAAATTGGAAGGATCCCACATTTCATGGAGGATACCTATTTGGTTTGGCCCATACCAAGATAACACATTTGGTTACTAAATACATTTTCATAGGAGCCTGATTATTTGGTCAGCTCAGAAAAGCACTGGCCTATTCACTGTGTTCCCACTGCAGCCCACCTCCCACTTTGTTTCTTCCACGCACTAAAAAAGGACTTAAGGAATACAGCCCAACTTAAATGGTGTGTCAAATATTATGAAAAAACCTTTGCTCCAAAAAACTCAATGGCCCAATTTTCAAACTGATTAAAATCCAAATGCTATTTCTCCAGCTGTTTCCTAGAATGGTAGCATTTGGTCCCCAGGTCCTTTCACTTTCTGGGTATGCAGAATTATTATTTCAAATATGATTTTGAAAAGCAGATAGTAAAGCATCCTGTTAAGAAAGCCACAAAATAATACATCTTCCAGAGGCACTGCCAGTTTTGGCCTTGCGTTGACTTACAGCTGCTGTTGCAAGGGTATGGATGTGTATCACACACTTAACATCAGGACGTGTTGAATAGATTGCAGCATGGGGACTGAATCCTGTATGGTCAATTTTCAAATTGGTACTTCCCTGGTCAACCACTTCTCCTATGATATTGACTTTTACCTGGAAAAAATCAGAAAGACATATTTAACTGGTGCATATGTATCAAAGTTTGTGTTTCACAAGCTAAACTGGGGGTAGCAAACTTTTTTGTAAAAGGCCAGATAGTAAATATTTTGGAATCTGTGGGCCTCTGCTGCAATTATTCAACTCTGCGGGTGGGGTACAAAAGCAGCCATAAACAATCTGTAATTTAACAGGTATAGCTTTGTTCCCATAAGACTTTATTTATAAAACAGTCTGCAACAAAACTTAGTACTCAACAAGTTCAGTTTCCAAGAAACTGAGAAACTTAAGCTCTTCATTGGAGGTCTCAACAAGTCTGGCATATATCGAATTGGCTAGAAAACTTCTATTTGCTAACATTGCAGCAAGCACCCAGAACCAAGGTGGCTCCTGTTGCTCACTCTGTAAGCTAATGACAGTGGCCAGGAGTAGTCATGGAAAAGATGGAATGCTAAGAAGGTCAGATCCTATACTCATACCAACTGAACTTCATTTAAATCTAGCTATGAACATAGTTTGTGTGTGTTTTGGCTTTTTTTTTTTTTTTTTTGAGACACAGTCTCGACCTGTCACCCAGGCTGGAGTGCAATGGCATGATCTTGGCTCACTGCAACCTCTGCCTCCCGGGTTCAAGCGATTCTCCTGTCTCAGCCTCCTGAGTAGCTGGGATTACAGGCGTGCACCACCAGGCCTGGCTAATTTTTTGTATCTTTAGTAGAGACGGGGTTTCACCATGTTGGCCAGGCTGGTCTCAAACTCCTGACCTCAAGATCCACCCACCTCAATCTCTCCCAAAGTTATGGGATTACAGGTGTGAGCCCAGCCGTTGTGTTTTTTTTTAAGATAAATTTCTGAGTGTATAGGGTGGGGAAAAAAAAAATCAAGATTCCCTTTCAAAACACAGATAACTGATAAGACCAACTCATTTATTAGTCTCTTCAATTACGCTGTTCTCCAAAGCTTTTCTTTAAAATAACAGCATAGTTCAAATTCCCTTCACTGTTCACTTATAAATGTTTTTCCATCCATACCTTCCCTTATTCTGTCCTGTACTAAGCGCTAAGAACTGTCAGAAAAGCAAAAGAAAGCTCAGAAAAAGTAACATCGGAATGAAAAATTATACCAAATTAGAGGCTGTAGCTTCAGAAAAAGATAGGCCTCTGGGAATTATTATAATGTGGTCTTGCTCCTTACTTATTCTTACCTGGAAAAAAACAACAAGGAATTACTATGAAACGGTTCATATTTTGCAGTGGAAACATGACTACAAATATATTTACAATGAGTAACTGTAAGCAACCTGGAGGGAAAAACCCAGCAAAACAAAAATTAAAGTTCTACAACTTGAAACTTTCCTCAAGTTTCCCTCAAGTACTTGCTAAAAAATTCTGACGTTGGTTTTTTACTGGACTTACCTAAAAGTGTTATTTTGGGGTTCTAAGGTTATTCAGGGTCAGCTATGTTCATAAAAAATAAATGCCAATAGCATTCAAGCCAATGTGGTAATGATTATAACCTTAATTTACAACTTGGAAATTAAGGCAAAATGGGCAAAGGAAAGAGAACAGAATCTCTTCCTAGGAAGGAATTAAAGATGGAAAGGGGAAAGGAAGAAAGATTCTTGGTGGACCACAGCTATATTATTTCCATTGTACAATATTTTAATACTCTTTTGTTTCCAAATAGCATCTTTTTCAAAGTGTGGCAAAATAAACATATGATGGTGAATGGAAAAGGATACATTTAAAAAACAAAGACCAGGGAGGAAGCTTCCCTAACCTCCTCTATCTTTCTTGCCTCAAATGCTTTTTAAAGCCACGGATGCTCACATATAATTACATGGGAGGGACAATTTTGCCAGAAAGATTTCTTCTTGGATAGATTCTACAACTGGTCTGAATCAAAGGAATAACACAGTAAGGGGAGAAGAATGGTTGGGGGAACTGTAGCCTCTCCCTTGGGGATAAGGTTTAAATCACTATTTGGTTGTGATCTAGCATACTAAGTTTAGAGAATAAGTCTGCAAACTGGACTTCCAGGTAAAGTTAAGAAAAGTGTAATTGCCTTCTAGTTGTAATTCTTTAAAAAAGGAAGTGAAAGCTGAAGAACTCACTGAGATATAGGTATTTGCCAGGTGTGCCCATCCAAACAAGTCTACAAGTCTGTACAGGCTGGCAAGTTTACAGCGAGTAAGTTTTTCTCCCTTCACATATGAGGATGTATCTGCACCAGGAAGGTCATTGATAGGCATGACCATGCCAAGACCTGAAAGAGCAAAAAATGTGGAGAGAGATTCAAGTCAAGCAATCCCTTACCTGGAAATTAGTTGCCAGGAAGTAGCCTGCGTCTGGGAGTATCCCAGCCTTGTACATAATGATCTGAAATTTATCAGCCCATACAGTATTTTATTAGCTTATTCTCCTTCAGATAGGTACAGTGAGAGTAAAAATAAGTGTCAGCTATCTTTGATTGCTTAGCAAAAGTTGCTTCATCTAGCGCTTGCTAAGGAGTGACTATATCAAAGGTTCACACCACTGGGGAAAAATGGTTCCATGTATCTCCAAGGGTAAAAGTGATAAGTACTAAAATTATTGCTAGTTTCATGATGAAAAGACCTCAACAGAAAGCTACTTTTCTATTACTTTTTTTGACTTTTATTCAAACACAAAAAACATTTGAGATGGAAAATAGCGCATGCAAATAGTATGGGTTCTGTCCCATTGAAGGTCTTGAAGTAATCTTGAAGGTCTCTAATGATCTAATTGCCAAGTTCAACTGTTACCAAGTTCAACTTCTGCTCAGTGTTCATTCTCCTTGACCTCCTTACTGCTTGACACTATGTACACTGCCTCATTCCTAGAACTCTTCTCGAGGCCCATGTGATACTATCCCAGATCTCTTGTTCCTTGCCCACCTGCTTTTCTCCTTTAACAAGTTCATCTGTTCCTTCACCCAACTGTGGCTCTTGCCCAAAGCTCAGTCCTCTACTATGTTCTTTCTCATTTTACTTTTCTCTACAAAAACATTATAGACTCTCAAGCCTCCCTTACTGTTATTTTTGTGTTGATGACTCACTCCCTGGTCTTTAGTTCTGATCAGATCCTCCTCCCCATTTGCCAGCCTGCCCCCTGCCCTCCCCCCCCTTTTTATTGAGATGGAGTTTTGCTTGTGTTGCCCAGGCTGGAGTGCAATGGCATGATCTCAGCTCATCGTAACCTCCGCCTCCCGGGTTCAAGTGATTCTCCTGCCTAGGCCTCCCGAGTAGCTGGAATTATAGGCATGCACCACCACGCCCGGCTAATTTTGTTATTTTTAGTAGAGACGGGGTTTCTTCATGTTGATCAGGCTGGTCTTGAACTCCCAACCTCAGGCGATCCGCCCACCTCAGCCTCCCAAAGTGCTGGGATTACAGGTATAAGCACCACCATGCCTGGCCCCAGTCTGCTTTTTAAATTTGTTTTTAGAGGCAGGGTCTCACTCTGTCACCCAGGCTACAGTGCAGTGGTGTGATCATGGCTCACTGCAGCCTTGAACTCCTAGGCTCAAGCAATCCTTCCAACTCAGCCTCCTGAGGAGCTAGGACTACATGGCATGCTACCACACCTGGCTGTTTTTATTTTTTAGTGAAGACGGTTTCACTATGTTGCCCAGGCTCATCTTGAACTCCTGGCCTCCAGTGATACTCCTGCCTTGGCTGCCCAAAGTGCCAGGATTATAGGCATGAGCCAGCGTGCCTGGCCTAGCCTGCTGTTTCTGTCTACAACACAGTAACACGAAAATTAAAAAGGTCAGCTGGGCACAGTGGCTCATGCCTGTAATCCCAGGACTTTGGGAGACTGAGGCGGGTGGATCATCTGGGGTCGGGAATTCGAGAGCATCCTGGCCAACATGGTGAAACCCCGTCTCTACTAAAAATACAAAAATTAGCTGGGTGTGGTGGCATGCACCTGTAATCCCAGCCACTCAGGAGCCTGAGGCAGGAGAATCGCTTGAACCTGGGACGCGGAGGTTGCAGGGAGCTGAGATTGCGCTATTGCACTACAGCCTGGGTAACAGGGCAAGACTCCATCTCAAGGAAAAAAAAGAAAATTAAAAGGGTCTAAAGGTGATTTTATCTTCTCTTTCCCTTACCTTCTCTCTTCTCCTTATTTTGCTTCTAATATTGATGGTACCATTCCTACAGGCTCATACTCTAAGTAACCTCTACCTCTTAATCTCTCCTGGGTTACCATATATAATTTGTCACCACATTCCATGACTGTTTTCTTCATAAGGTCCCTTGCCGTCCACACTTGAGTTCAGGCTGTACCTCATGTGTGGATCACTGCAATCAGCCTCATTCTTGTCCTTGACTGCAGCCCCTTTGTAAATTCATTATGCATAAAGCCATTGAGTTTTCTAAAGCACTGCTTTTAACCTGAGAATGCCAGCAAGCACCTTTAAAGAGAATCAATATTACAATGTAAGACCTTTTAATTTTTGAGATGTTTTGAAGTAATTTGAACAGTTTTAATACGTAAGCCATACAAAATAGCATAATTTCTGACAAAATTTTAGAGTCAGCCATTAACCTATCTCCTACTCTCCCTAGCTTTCCAACTTTAACTTCCGCTTTTCACAACACAGCGTACGTATTTCAGGCAAACTGGTTGCTATTTCCTGACCTCCAAACAGTGGCACATGGCTTTCCGCCTGCCATGCCTTTGTACATTCCAGCCAGCAGGCCAAGGTCTCCTGTAGCTCCTTGATCCTGCCGTGGAATCCAGGACACTTGCAGGATAGCTTCTTTTACTATATCTGTTTTCCCTGACTAGTCTTCCTCTTGGAGCTTTTGAGGTTCTCTCTTTGGGATCTTTTGCCGGCCTATACACTCTTGTCTGACTATTTAATCAACGTCCACAGCTTTCAGTACTACTTCTCTATGTCCATCTGCCAAGTCTTTCTCCTAAGCTCTCTGACTGCATTTCCAACTGATGCAATGTCTTGGCAATGAAAATGGAGCATGCCCAAAGCTGAACTTCCGCCATTTCCCAAGCCAAACTAGATGCCCAAATCTGGACTTTTATTTTTGTTAATAATACTATAAAATCACCCAGTTCATTCTTCACACAGAAAATATATTGGTCTTTTAAAATAATCTTTCTGCTTAAAATGGCTTCCCATCAAAGTTAGGAATAAAACTCAAACTTTGAAATCCAATTGTGATATGATTTATATTCAGCCACATTAAAATCAGATTTCTTATTTTAAAAAAGTAAGACATGGTTTTCACTTTGTTGCAAGGCTGGTCTCCAATTCCCAGGCTCAAGTGATCCTCCCACCTCAGCCTCCCATGTAGCTGGGATTACCAACACATGCCACAGGTCCCAGCCCAGGACCATGTCTTATATCATCTTACAATCTGTATGAAGTGTAGTAAATGCCTGGTTGATATGAAAGGGTAGGAGGTTCTAACACTATGTTACTCTAAGTATTAGATGTTATAAACTTAAGGACTGAACCTGAGCAGACTATGCTGCTAGAGATATACGGTGTTCCAAAGTGGAGGTAAAATGATAATGTTTAAAATTCTCCAAAACTGACATACTGAGGGGAGGTGAAGAAAAACCCGAGAAAGAATTGGTCATGATGTAATCTGCAATCTGTTGTAATGCTAGCAATCCAGTTGGGTTGTGGCCTTTCTTCATCTGTTCTTGAATAAGGCATTCCAAGTCTTCCCGAAAGGCCTGAAATACACAAAAATAAAGACTGAGCATGCGCATTTCACTTGCAGCAGAATGGCCCAAACGTAACTTGCTCCAATACAACCAATCTTTCCCCCATCCCTCTTCTGAATAGCTATTGCCTCTACTACTTAAAAACAAATGTAAAACACAAAATAATAAAATCAAAGCATTGGAAGAAATAGCAAAAAGTTTGCTTTTGGGGGGAAAACCATTATGCATTCTTAATATCAAAGAAAATGAGATATTGTTATATCTACACTAGGCAGGCACAGATAAAACTCCTCTTATTAATAGGCAACTCAAGCACCAAGAAACTGCTGCAAAAAAAAGCGATCCACTTCTTGCTTAGCTAAGACAGAGTCCCCATGTGAATGGGGAACAACTTTGAATACAGAGTTAATGGCAAAAGTTTTTACTAAGACATACTAAACAATGGTTTCCATTTTATGATTTCCATGGCAATTCCTTAGCCCCATAAACTCTGAAAGTTTCTTAATGGAACTTTGGGTTCCATATTCTGGAGTTCTGCTGTATATTTTTGGGGGTGGGGAGGAATGAGATGAGGTAGTGGCAGAAGCAGTGTTTATACAGATCAAAATCCTGAACATTAAGAGAACACCACTATTCCAGTAACCTTCGAGTTTCTAGTATGGTTCATCATCTGAAACTTCTCCCAATCCTTCACATCGCAAATAATTGATTCTGACTTTCCGTCACATCCAACCAACACCTATTTTATTAAGTTCGTCATTTGTTCTCTTGGTCATGTCTACTTCATTTAAAAGATGAAGGCTCTTGTAATATAAATCACTTAGCCCTTGCTCTTCCATTTGAGATTAGTTACATATGTAGTAGGATGCCCTGGCAGAAATTAGTTCCATTTCTCCACTTTGCCTAAGAGGGAGAAGGCAGAAAATTATTTTGGCATCACTACTTCCAAGAAGGGTAGGTATGAATACCTGGGAGATAACTAAGAAAACCTCCTTTAAAAGGGTGAATCTCTTTTGAGTCACTGGCAGTAGTCTGCCTCATGAGGGTACGAATAAAGTCTCCTGGAGTCTCTGCTTAGATGAAGCCTTTCTGAGAGGCTCTATTTAAGTTCCCAGAGGTCAGGGAACTTTTTTTTCTTTTTTGAGATGGAGTCTTGCTTTGTTGTCCAGGCTGGAGTGCAGTGGCGCAATTTTGGCTTACTGCAATTGCCACCTCCTGGGTTCAATCGATTCTCCTATTTCAGCCTCCCAGATAGCTCGGATTATAGGCATATGCCACCACACCTGGCTAATGTTTGTATTTTTAGTAGAGATGGGGTTTCACCATGTTGGTCAGGTTGGTCTCAAACTCCTGAACCTCAAGTGATCCACCCTCCTTGGCTGCCCAAAGTGGTGGGAGTACAGGTGTGGGCCACCACGCCCGGCCAGGAACTTTAAAGAAAAAATAATGGCATAGGAGCTCATGGTGGTAAGGGGAAATGTGGTTCTAAGGGTATGAGATGGTAGACGTAGGACCAGTCCTGACTCAATGTTTGCAGTGCACTTAGAATAATAGTTGAGAGATGTCCATGATGTCAACTGAAAGAGCTAGGTGCTAATAGATGTAATCTTGGGTGCTCAACCATAAGGCACCATGGAACATCCTAACTGAGCTTAGCACAGGAAGATCCTTCCCTGATGCACTGTGGTGGCCTGCACAAACATCTGGGTAAACAGTGAACCTATAGCTCCTGTTGGACAGTTTAAGACTGGTTTTCAATATGCTATCACAAGGCAGGGAAGTACAGTTGGCAGTGGTAGGCTGAACAGACTCTAGTGTGTCTCCCTCACATATATACATACAGATGCATGGATACACAGCCCACACCCATCTTGGATATGGAAGCCACTGATGAACCTATTCAGTGTAAGTCACTAAAGTTCTTGGAAGAATTCAGAGACAAGCAGAAATTCCAAGAGGAAGATGGTGTGCTTTCTGCTAATAAGGCAAGTGGATATTTGAGTGATTAATTTTTAAAAATACTAATTGTGACCACATTTGAATCCTAAGTTCACAAGCAGTTTACACCAGTTAAATATGGCTTTTCTTTTTACAAATTCAAGCCTTGTTAAGTGTAAATCATCCACACAATAAAAATTCAAAACGTCTAGTTCTATTGACTCTATCTAGTTCACTTAAATATGTGATTTAAATCAGAACAACTCTCCTGTAAAATATCCTCTACAAAGACATACTACGTATGTCAGAAAACTCCATTAGGGAGTGTTCTTGTTCACCCAAGACCCTGTGAAGATAAGATGGCTGAGAGCTGTATACAAGATAGATGGAAGCCTTCATACAGATAAGTAACATGACTATTTTACCATGATTAAGGCTGAAAGGAAAATAATCTTCCAGATATCCTCATTTATCTTTATATAAAGTACAAAGGACTTCTGGACACATGGCAACGGGCCTATCTGCTCTTCTGAAAGTCTATCTTCCCTTCAAAATCAAACTATTTAAACTTTTCTCAGTTCAAAGTAGTTATAGCCAATATTCTTTGATTCAGTTTTAAAAAACCCAAAATTAATGATACCTACTATGTGCATCACTTTTACATACATTACAATAGCTTTCAAAGTGGGCATTATCTATTTTATTAAATGTCCTGCACCCATGTCTTTCTAGGAAAAATTTAAGGCAGTTTCCATAGATTAAAATGCTACAAAAATAAATATAGGTAAGAAAAATAAAGCTGAAGAGAAAATAGGCATAAGAAGGATAGACAGAGCCAGAAATGAGGTTAAGCTACAAAGTGAACGCCATAAAATTGTATGCATTTGCTAGAGATGGGACAAATTTTATCTCAACTGTGGCAGCCAGCATGAATTAAGACTGCCTGCTCAGTGTACTGATTTACAATGGTTTTAAGATTAAAAATCAACCAGGGGCTCAAGATAATTACAACTATTTATTAAACTGGTGAGAAATTTCTGCTGGGTGGGATGAGAAAGTTAAAAAAGAAAGGTTGAAAGCCTGTTCATGACACACAGCTAGTAAATGCCAGAGGCAAGGACACAGGCCCAATGCCCTTTTTACGCTGGTGAAAATGCTTTCTTCATTTTCATATATCCCATAATATGCGAGTGCCATTCTAAACCTTTGGGTTATCTACGGTGTGATAGAGGGCTGTACAAGCCCTTCTGAAATCAAATTAAGAATAAGAGGAAAAATATGAATGTCTCCTTTAAAGCTGACGAACAGCTTCCATGCAGAAGTAAAGAAAGCAGTTTTCAAAGTATACGCAATCTCCCCAGCCTTTTTTACGATTGACAGTGCTTCAACCAATAAGAATCCTTCCAGTGCAAGAAAGGTTTAATATTTTGTCATGAACATTTATAACTCATTTGTACATGTTTCAAATGTTTCTGAAATATTGTTCAGATAATTACCTAAGTCATAAAACAGTAACTGTAAAAATTACTAAGACTAATATAAAAAATTACTAGCATAATTACTAATTTCAGCTGATTTTTAATTTATCAGTAAATTTATTGAGCTTCCATTAAAATATCAAAATAAAATTATCTTTGAAACGGATAGTTAATATTTTTACTGAAGTTCAATGTTAATAATCCTTTATAGTTGATTCATTTGAGTCTCACCACAAAGTCCTGAGAGAGGCAATGAATGACTTGCTCCAGGTTACAAAGATAATAAGTAAATGTAATAAAGATTCAAATCTGGAACCCTCACCTGGGCACGGGATCTTTTCCTAATTTTAATCAGAGTTGGGTTGTATCTCTGAAACCAAATACAACTAATAAGGTAGCAGGCATGTTGTGATCTGAAATGTTGAGTAAACCTCTTAGGCTAGATTACAGCATTAGATTGCAATGGTAGATAAAGCAAAAAAACAGATATAGCAGCAGATTATGGTGATCCTGGAATACCAGGCTAAGTACTTGCCCTCTTGTAGCTAAGAATTCATCAAAGCATAATGAGAAAATTTATAAGCAGGGTGGTGAGGCCATATACTGGGCTTCTTAAATCAGATTAGCCCTGGAGTCTCCACTAGAGAAGAGCTGGGTTAGAAGATCAAACAACATATACACAAAACCATGGCATAAACTATGTCTTCTTTCTCAGGTGCAGAAGAGCATAGAAGAGGAGGTAGTGGTAGTTGTTAAATTTTGTGAAGATGAGTAAATCAGAACGCCATCAGGGTGACAGATTCAAGACCTTCAAAAACCAAAATATAGTCTAAGGAATTAAAATCTTCAAAGTGTTGCCACAAAAGCATAACATACTTCAAATTAGCAATAAATATATAATTTCCAAAAAATAGTTGCCTACTACATGCTAGGTGTTCTCCTGCATGTTCTTATTTTATTTAATTTTCACAACTGTGTGAAGTATTTTCCCCTAACAAGGAAACTGAAGCTCAAGTTAAATGAGCTTCCTGATGTCACATAGCTAGTAAGTGGTAGGCAAAGCAAAATTTGAACCCAGATCCAAAACGAACACTTTTATAAAAAATTGTGTAAACAAAATGGGTAACGATGAGAAAATGTACTGACTCCTAACTTACGACATGGCTCGGTACTCCAAAATTTCCATAGTCTGCTATGTAATTTTTTCGCTTTATCTGCCATTACTACCACCTCATGCTTTAGTCTAGCCTATGAAGTTCATCTGATCACAACTTGCACTTCTCTATCCCTGCTCGATCTAGTTCATCTAACTGAAGTATTGACTTCCACTGTTCTTCCTAATGAATTCTTATCCTTTATCCAACACATCATAAATGCTACCTTCTCCTTGGAGTCTCCTAATCATCCAAGTTAGGAGGGATCGCTGTATTTCTTCTCTTCTGCATCTCCCTGTGAACATTTCCCTACACTGTACTTAGGGTACCAAATGTATGACTGTGATTGTTTAACTCTTTTCCTACTCTACCATATTATCTCATGACTGAAACTGTGTCTTTCATATTTCTAGAGTCTCCCTGAGTGTGTAGTTCAGTG